CCCCAAAACCCCAAAACCCCAAAACCCCAAAACCCCAACTTTTGTAGAAATATAGAAATAAATTTATAAAATGAAAAAATCTCAGAATAAAACTTGGGGTGTTATCAACCATAAGACTAATTGTACGTGCTAGTATTATTCACATCTTTGTTGCTCCCTTTTAGTGATATTTGAGTGACTCTCCGTGCTTATGTAATTCTATAGCTGACTACTGGCTCAATACCACTCTGGGTAGAGACTTGCTCAACAAAACATCCGATTCCAAATCAAGCGAGAAAGGAATGAGAGTCGACCCAAAGGAAGCAGTCAAGACCTTTAAGAATAAGATAAACTTCTGCCTTCAGAAACGAACATTTGACGCAAGACATATGGACAAGATCTTGAGGACGAAATATTGTGTGACAAACACAGATATTCCTTATGGAAGTATCAGTACTAAATAACCCCCATGTAAGCATGCTTGCAAGAGAAATCTTTCTTTTTGAAGAAAAATAGTTTACCCATTCTAGAAATTATACCCAAGAGATGATATTAAGAAGTTCAAGTTCAAAGATGTGGGCAAAATTCACCTTGATGAAGCTGATAGACCATCTGCTTCTTTCCTGACCCCTACAAGGAACAGGAACAAGATTGCTAGGTATGTGGATGAAGCTGATTCACCTTCGATACTTATGCCTGATAACCCAGTGACACTTAATTTGAACTTCGAGAAACAAGGGATCATCACTAAGTTACGGAAATGAAAAAACCAATCAGTTGAAGGCTCTCACAGTAAGTTTTCTCTCCTTTATCTCCAGGTTGAGTTAAGTCTCCATTCATGAGAGCCCAAGAGCTTAACAAGGAGAAGGTAGAAAAAGAACGGATTCAAAGTCTCAGAGAAAAGCTCAGAATGTGTCTTAAATAAAGAGAGGATCCTTCGTAATCACCACAGGCATGGTGTTTTAGGAATTCAAGGCATAAAATCTGCCATCCCCAAAGACCACTTTTACAGTGGTGAGACTGAAATGATGAAGATGCAGATGGAAAAACAAAAGATCAGAGATAAGAGACAGCATCTTCTTAACAAAAGGATCACTAACTATAGATCAGGTACAAACTTTCTAACAATGTTAGCCAATAATTCAACCGAGCGCCCAAGAAAAGTTCCGTTAAAACAAGAAAACACTTTCAAGTTATTCATACCTCTAGTACAGAATACTGAGTATAAAGGTAACGCAAGGAACAGACATGACAAGACGTTTTGTAAAGACTCCCTTCACAGAATGTAAGCGCTTGGATTACTACAGATGGGGAAGGGCCTCAGCCTAGAGGCTGAGAACTTTTTGTGAAGACTGAGGGTTATATCCTACTTTTACCTCATTTTGACTGTAATATATAGACTATAAGCTCCATTGTGATTTGAAATAAAGACATTACTCAATTCAATTGACTTATTCTAGGTTGGGGTTTTGGGGTTTTGGGGTTTTGGGGTTTTGGGG